ATTCACGAAGAATCTAAAATCCCAGACTATGAGGTTGAATCCATTTAAGAAACTTCATCGTTTTTTGTAACTATTAATGAAAGGACCGGCTTAGGACGAACATTAATTATATATGGTGAATTAATGGTGAACTTAACAAGGGCGGCCTAGCCTGCTAAGTGCCTTAAGGGGCAATGTTTGTTGAATAACGAATAACGATAGAGAGAGAGAGAGAGAGAGAGCACTGCAATTATAGTACCACTCACGGGTTGACTTATAGAAAATATATGCATAGTTTTAAAGATTACGCAAGTCTCAACCCTTGTAACATGATTGCATACATACTCTTGAGCTTCAAGTCGTCTCTTTAGCTTTTACAACGTTACGTAAGTCACATATCAAATAAAAAAAATATATCTAATGGATAATATTTCAACTATTCAGTTGTTATATTGTGTATTTGTTGAGTTTTATAAAGTAAGTGAATTATGTGAGTTACTATAAGGAACATTCATCGATAAAGTAAATCAATATGTTGGTGACCACAACTTATATGATTCATGAAGAAAATTTTGATCCAAGCTATAAAGTGAAATCTATTTTTTTATATCTTTCTCTTCATATCCAAGTTATTATTATAGTTATTTTTTTTTATAAGAAAAGTTGTGGGGGGGAATTAATAAGGACCGGTTTGGGGAAGGTTAAAGCTATATCATGTTGAGTGAGGTGGCGATGGAGTGTGGGTAAAAAAATAAAAAATCTTGCTAGATAGCTTGGTTGGGCTTTTCACATGCATTGGGAAGTTTTATGGGACTCAAAATGTAAAGGGATTAATGTGAGAGGTTGGTGTGTGTGTCGTTCAACTAAGAGTTGTATTATTTGGATTTGCATGATGACATGTCCTATATCTCTTAGGATTTTGTTGATGGATGAATTAATCAGTCCGCCTAGGGCTAGCTAAATTGTCACCGGTGGCCACCATTATGCAAACAACACTAAAGCAAACCTTCTCTCTAACTGATATATCTCTTCTATTGTTTTAAAGACTATCATGTTGACTTATGCAACTGATGATAATTCTACTTTCTCAAGTAGGCTCCACGTGGCGCTCCTATTCTTATTTTTCATTTTTGTATTGGTGCATGTGAAGAGGTGGGAGAGAGGCCAATAAGAAGCTTTTCTTTCTCCTCTCGTTTTTTGTTTTTTTTTTTTTATTGGGCAAAAAGAAAAACGATTGAATACGAATGAAAGTTGGTTCCAAACTATGTATGGTTCTTCACATAAATTTAATATATACATACATATATATATATATTGATTAAAACCACAATCTTTCAACCCAACATACAGTACATATTAAGTCCACCACGTAGAAAATGAAATCGAGTCCAAGTGGTCCATTAAGATAACAACCAATCAAACTATATTGTGTTGTACGTCAAAGATTTGAGAAGAACATTTTATGCACGAGAAATAAATTATCATAAAGTATTAAGTATGCAACTTCCGAAAGAACCAAATCAAGATATTTTTTCAGGTTGTACATAGCATTCATAGAATTTGATCTTGAACAACAAGCAATCTCTCAAGTTTGAGCCTCAAAAGCATCGGATATATTACTTGTACATATGCGCACACACACACAACAAAAATCAGATAAAACCAATACAAATTTAATCTAGATGGAGGAAAATCACTAGAAGATCTAGTGTGGACAATATCTACCAAAAAATAAGTCAACAGGAAAAATCTTATTGGGGAGAGATCCTAAAAATCCCTTACTTTGATGGAAAGATACGAGACGGAAAAAAGAAAAAAGAAAGGTAGACAAAAAAGAAGGGTCTAGGGCCGATAATTATTCCGATATAGTATATTTTTAAATATCATTTATGATCTTCTTATTAGACACAAGATATTGCTTTTTTGAATACTAGTTGATGCTACTTTGGATTTTTAGAACCCATGTACCTTAAACATTTTGTAATTTGGCACTTTGATTATTGTAATTTTTTCTTAGTAATTTAGTCTTTGAATTCCTATAAAAGTAGCAATATTTAACTCCAATTATGAAATCACGTCTATCCTTTTACACGGTTTACGGGAATCTCAAAAGAAACTTCATCAAATGATGACTAAACCTCATCCATATTTTCAGTCAATAAAACCAGCCGCATTTGGAGAAACAAGCACGATCTATAACGTAACTTCAACCATGCATATATATCCGAAAACGGTGATGTTACAAGAGAGATCTACTAACCCTCAAGATGAACGACAAAGTACTTCAATATATTTCTTAATCACCACTGTGCAATAATTACCTTCAATGAAGAGATCTAATCTACAATCCTAATCATGAAGAATATTCTTTTCCCTTTTTTCCCTTTAAAATCAAATTTCAATCTCACTTATCAAGGACAAAAATAAAAAGTTCAATTTACCCTTTTATTTGAAAAAAAAAAAAAAGATGTAATTTTCATGACAATCTCACGTAATCCACATTAAAAAAAAAAAAAAATGTATCCTCTATATAATTTCGTTACACTCGATGCGGCACTTTGGGTTATAATTCTAATTTTTGTGGGGGACACTTTTAGATTATATATCAAATGACTTGAGGCAATTTGTAGTGGGGTTTAAGTTTGAGAGGGTACTCGGATTCGACTTACACTACATTGTTTTTTATATAAAAATTTAAATTTAATTTTTTTTTGTTATAATATTTTCTCTAATATAAATTTAATTTTCAACTCAAATTCCCAACTCGAATCTAAAAAACTAACAGGCTTAGGGCTTGTTCTTTTGAGTGAAAAACTCAAAAAAATGCAACTCGAGTTACAACTTTATTCGAGTTCATGTTCTTTTAAGTTTAAACTCGAGTTTAAACTTGAGTTCAAACTCGAGTTTAGGACTAAAACTCGAGTTCAAGTTTCCCCTTCAACTCGAGTTCAGAAACTCCAACTCAAATTAATGAACATTATTTTTTCTATTCTTAAAAATGCTATAACTTTTTCGGTTTAATTCTGATTGAGATGATTTTTTTTTCTATGCGTTGACAACGAAAAGACGAATAAAACCCGACCCATATACCATATTAAAATTTTTCATCAGCATTGAGTTTTTATTAAAATATTACCTAAATATAAATTCAAATTTTGACTCACTCAAACACAAACTCAAAAATATTCTTATCTCAAATCATAACTTAATGTATGAGTGATCATGGTTAAGTTATCGTGCACAACATCTATTATATGAGTAGATAATTTGGTTTAAAATAAACTCTCTTGATTTGGCGTATTGTTTTCTTTAAAAATTAAAGCTAAATATTACATATTTTGTGGCTTATATATTTTTTTCCCAATGAATAAGAAATACACACATGTATTTTTTTTAAGACATAATACACACATGTATGTACATGCGTACATATTTTTTGTGGCTGGATATAGCCGTATCCCACAGTTGACTTTTTATTTTTTTATTTTTAAACAATGAGCGACCACCGCGAGTAAGAGTAAGCAAATGTGAGATTGACGTAGGCGAAAAATGTGCATCCAACTGTGAAAGGAGGTCTACGCTAACGTACGGCTAATGCACGGCGCAATACGTGGACCGAAGAATGCGGAGTTGGTGGGTCCCTCATCGAGCCCTTCTTCTTTCCGTTTATATTCTCTTCTCTTCTTCAATCTTTTGCCGTTAAAAAAGACCTTTAATTTGGCGGGTAAATCTTTACGGCGGGGAATTGGGAAATGAGAAAATGGGAACGCTCTATTCGTTCGAAAGTGAGAAACTTTTCTATTCTTTTTTACCGGCTGAAATAGTACTATAAAGATGAAACTAATTTAAGTTTATTTGATAATTTCTCTTTAATTTGGCTGATGGATTGATTTTTTTAACAAATTTGAAATTTTTTTATTAGAACGCACTTGGAATGTTGCCTTAAAAAATGGTTGAATGTTGTGTAGCTTTGCCAAATTTAGCTGTTCCTCCATTGTTTTGCTCAAAAACTCATACAATAGCTCGCAAATTTTACTAGTTACAAAATCTAGAATCTTTTTATTTACAGCATATACTAGCTAATTTTTTTATGATTAAAAAACCGAGTTCCAATGTTCAATGTATTTAGAAGGGAAAAACAAAAGTTCATTTATCTTTGTTAAAAATAAGGGTCTTGTTGTAATAGGATCTACAATCGGTAGTGTATGTTTTTAACTATTAAATCTGTTTCAAATCACATTCAAAATAAAAAAATATATACATATTAAACAGTTTTTAATACAAATTTAACAGTTAAAGACAAAAAACTTCAACTTTTCAAAATTCATAATGGAAATCTTCATAAAATAAAATAAAATAAACGTGAATTTTGGTAGTGGTAAATTGACAAGCAAGCGAGCGTTAATACGTTTTATCCGTACAATTTGGGACAAAAGGCCAAGGTCTTCCCTACTAGAGTCGACAACCCAAGTGCCTAAAGAATTCAAAGAGACAAACAAAAAGGAACAAAGAATTCTAAGCACATAGAGAGCCGCAGATAATGGCACAACTTACAAATGAAGCAAAGCGGTTTTCAATTTTCATATCAACCTTGATCTCCAAGTCCAACCCTTTTAGACCCTACCATCATTATCATTCATTCGACCGAAAAACTATTTTAATTTTATTTATTTATTTTTATTCTCTCTTTTCCATCCACAAAAACCCATTTCTACGTCATAAAAGAAATGACCAAACTCCAATGGTATTTCCGCCTGTCCAAGTCGGAAAAGGGTTCTTGGATTGTTGAATAGAATTAGCGCCAAAAAAAAATTAAAAATTAAAAATTAAAAAAAGCCCTCAAGTCATAACTAACAACGGGAGACCAAACAACATTAATTAAGCGTGATGATTTTGTACCTCCCCCTCATTTTACTTTTTTGACAATTCCAACTTTTTTTTTTTCTTCTCTCTCCTTCTCTCTCTCTAGTTTTTGTTGCATAAATAGCAACACATCCCCTGCCTCTGCCCTCACAGCACCACCACCATCCTTAAACAACAAACAAACTCATTTCTCCTAATCCCTCACTCTGTCTTTCCAGTGAGTGAGAAACCCAAAAAATGGCCCCCTTGAGTTTTATCATTCTGTTATCCCTCATAGCCTGCGCCGCCTTCGTCGACGCCAAAATCCCCGGCAACTACGGCGGCGGTTCCTGGCAAAGCGCCCACGCCACTTTCTACGGCGGCAGCGACGCCTCCGGCACTATGGGTACGTCGTACTTGTACGGACACATCACATTAAAAAAACTATAAGTTATAACAACAACATTATTACTTTGTCAACTAACAAATTACAAAATCTACAATGCATAGGTGGTGCGTGCGGGTACGGAAACCTGTACAGCCAGGGGTACGGAGTGAACACGGCGGCGCTGAGCACGGCGCTGTTCAACAACGGGCTGAGCTGCGGCGCGTGCTTCGAGATAAAGTGCGCCAACGATCCGCAGTGGTGCCATTCGGGAAGCCCCTCGATATTGGTGACGGCGACCAACTTCTGCCCGCCCAACTACGCCCTCCCGAACGACAACGGCGGGTGGTGCAACCCTCCCCGGTCCCACTTCGACCTCGCCATGCCCATGTTCCTCAAGATCGCCGAGTACCGCGCCGGCATTGTCCCCGTCACTTACCGCCGGTGAGCTTATGTTTTTTCTTTTTTGTTTTTTTAGTATTTTCCTCTTAACTGCCTTTAACTGTTTTGAGTTAAAATTTGGTAATATGGGTTTAGAATGGATGACTTCACAAAGTTCATGGTTAAATTTTAGATGCGTAGATCTCGTTAATTTTATATTGATTCAAATTTTATTATAAGAAAAAATGTTCAATTTTTTTTTATTATAATAAAAAAAATTCTCAAATAAAATTACATCTAAAAACTCAAACTAACGAACTAAACGAATACTTAAAATTTTTAATGAAACAATTGTGTTTCTTTTTCTTTTGATAAGAATTACACTAAAAAATATGAAATTTAACATTGTAGGTAAAGTTCATAGAATTTGATGAAATTCTATTTACACTACATTTTTTAGTTCAAATTTTCAGTACTTGGTATTAAAAAATTAATTTGTTGAATTTTCTTCACCTTTTATCATTTGATAGTTAACAACTTTTTTAGTGACATAATTATTTTATCATCCAATGATTAGATTGTTTTAATAATAGTGATTGTAATTTAACACCACATTATATTTTGATGCTTTTTACATATTATTCTAAGAATTCAAATCTTTTGTCTTATTTTCGTATTTTATTAGTTATTTTTTTAATTAAATTGTGACACTTCATTTAATTATTGAAATACTTTTACTATATTGTATTGGAGCAATAACTAATGAAATTAAAAAAAAAAAAAATCTGAACTCCTACGGATAAAATAACAAAATTGAGTTAGTCATGGTCCAATCACAATTTGTTTATTTGTTTATGCGTGGATCTCATTTCATCAAAGTGATTGGTAATTAAATACCGGTTGAGATCCTCTAAGCACCGATTCCAAAATTGTTTTGTTGTACTTTTGTAACATTGGCTTTTGATTTTAATCCAAAAGAATCACAACCGTCCGAATCAGATTTATATTTATCAGAGAACCGTATCCCTTTTTTGTCCCTCACGCATGTCACGTCTATATCCAACCCTGAAACACGACAGAGTACAAATCTCAAGTATCGCTGTACATCACTAGAAACCGCGTAAGAGGAGAAAAAACCCTGGCTGTTAAATTACTTTAATACCCTTGTGTAATGTCTAAAGTATGTCTGGTAATGAATGATTGCCTAGTGTGCCGTGCCGGAAGCAAGGGGGAGTGAGGTTCACGATCAACGGCTTCAAATACTTCAACTTGGTCCTGATCACCAACGTCGCGGGTGCAGGGGATATCGTGAGGGCGAGCGTGAAAGGATCAAAGACTGGGTGGATGAGCATGAGCCGCAATTGGGGTCAGAACTGGCAGTCAAACTCGGTCTTGGTTGGTCAGTCACTCTCCTTCAGGATCACAGGCAGTGACCGACGCACTTCCACTGCCTGGAACATTGTCCCATCTCATTGGCAATTTGGCCAGACCTTCACCGGAAAGAACTTCAGGGTCTGAATCGTCTTTTCAGAAGTTTCTGGGTCCTTTTATGTCATTTTGTTTTTTTTTTTTTTTTTTTTTTTCCCCTTTTCCCCTTTCTTTATAATCATGTCCTAAACTTTATTTGGAAAAAGACAGATAGCGAGAAAATGAGGGGAAAAGTGTGTTGGGAGTAGTAAACTCTTTTTGACTTTTGGGAAGAATGAAGAGGGTTGTTGTTATCAGTTACGTTGATGGTGTTTGAGAAAAAAAAAAAAGTTGAACTTTGAATGTAAGGAGCTGAAGTGGCTGGAAAGTTGTGGCCCGCAGCTTTGCTCACCAAGCATGATATATATGTGTAACTTATATACTATTTGTTTTTAAAATTTTGAGTCCAATTTTGTGATTTTTTTTTTTTTTTTTTTTTTGCTAACTCTTGAGCGCCTATTTGTGCTTTTTGAGGGTGATTAATTAGCTCAATCCTATTGGGTTTACTCTTGAATGATTTGATAGATAAGAGGACTTATATCAGGTCACATGAAAAGCGGTTGAAATTATTTTCATGTTTAGTGTTCATAAGTTCTTAATGGAGTGAATTATGAGACACTTCGTTAATTGACGTAAATAGTTAATGTCAAAATACTCACCGTGGTGATTGCTCTTTGCCTCTTTGATGACATTCAAAATAATAATTACGACTAGTTATCTCTTCACATACTATTTCATTAGAAAAAGAAAACTTAATCAATGAGAAAGTATTTGTCAATAGTTGTTTACTAATCTATTGTTCCATTAGGTCAATGTCAATTAAGTGATGACTATAAACTATGATCTCGTTTATTTCGCTAGTTCAAATTAGAACTCAAATTTTTGCTATAGTATTTCTTCTCATAAAAATTTAAATTTAACTTTTTATTACAGTAGTTTATTGACCAAAATCAATATAAAAAAATGTTTGAAACATCAATTTTAATCTCAACTTATCGTACCAATTTTTATATGGTGCTAAATAGGACTTAAAATTTAAAAATTCATTGTATTTGTGGTCTAATATTTTAAGGACACAATTATATAAAAAAAAAAACCTAAATTTTTTATTTTTTGCAAACATGCACCCAAAAATATTCATAGTGGGAAAGTTGGACTCTATATTTTTTTAATTTTGACATTTAAGACTCTATTTTTATAAGATTATTTATATCCATTAACGATTGGACTGATTTGACAAAAATTATCAACTTTAGAGCCCTAAATACTAAGATAACAAATTGATCTTTAACTTGTAAATGGACAATTCAAGATTTATTGGTACAATTCACTTGAATATGGTGACGAATTAATTTTAACTTGTAAATGGACAATTCAAGATTTATTGGTACAATTCACTTGAATATGGTGACGAATTAATTTTAACTTATAAATGAAAAATTCAAAATTCATCAGTACAATTCACTTGAATACAAAGGACGGTGACGAACAATACCTTATACATAAAAGGAAAAAAGCAAAAATATAATGGGAAGATTGAAATTGATTGGATTTGCAGAGGACCATATAGTTATTAATTATATTTTTGAAAAGAGTTTTATTTTTGAACTCATATGTGGATCCAAGAGCAAGCATAACAGTGTCTTATACATAAAAGTGGAAAGGCAAAAATACAGTGGGAAATTTTGAATTGGATTGGATTTGCCGAGGACCATATAGCTATTAATTATATTTTTGAAAGGAATTTTATTTCTGAACTCACACATGGAATCAAGAGCAAGCAAAAAGATTGGTTATATGTTCTTCCAAATTGTGAATCAATTCGAACCTATTAGTAGAGCCAAAAAGCATGGTTTTTACAATAGCATCTTCAATGTTATATAGTGGAGTAGTAGTGTAGCAGACTTGGTTTCGCTCCATTTCTGGTCAAAGGGAAAATTTATGCGTTCACATTTGGCAGTGCTACAGAATCATAGGTCATTTTTCTACAATGGGTAAAAGTTGTTGGAGTGAATGTATTCATTTGTTAGGTCTTATCTTCAGAGAAGTATCTTTTTACTTGAATTCCGATGGATGGAAAATCAGCAAATTTGGTAGGAAGACTACGACTTATGTCTATAAATTATAATTTATGGACTTCTCTTCTCTTTTCTTTTTATTTTTATTAATTTTTTTTTTTAAAAAGGAGCCTTTCAGACAGACTGAAAGTTGACTTTCACATAATACATTGTATTTTCAAATGAAATTCACAAGGTTAGCCCCGCGTACGGAGAAAACCCAACCATTTCAAGCTCTATAAACCCTCTTTTTTTTAAAAAAAAAAAGACAAACTTTTTTTTTTTTTTTTTTTTTTTTTTTTTAGGGGGCAACTCCTATCTAACACTTTTTAAAATCTTTACTTAGTGGTCATATACCACAATTAAGTAAGCAATATACATTAGGTAATGGAGCAGCTTTCATCGTCTAACTTGGCGTTTCAATTCTTCCAAAGATCTTCCTTTTGCTATTTGAGAGATTACGAGTGTAATGGGTTCTACAATCACTTTGTTACCTAGAAAACGCCTATCAATGGCGAACATTTGGCTCGGTTTAGACAAAAAGGATTACTTCCCATTCTTTTTGTGCAGTAATGAGTTGCATGTTATTAGTTGAATTGTCCCTATCCCATGTGACGCTTGAGTGTCCTTCCGTATGCCGAGCATGAGCTCTGGTCTCATTTGGAAGAATAAGAGCTTGGGAGATTGACCAAGGATGCGCTTACGTAGAATGCTTGAGGCTTCATTTAATATGAGAATTTAAATTAATGTGATTATAGTTTGAATTTTAGGGTTTGTTTGGTAAGAGAATTTAAATCATGGTGATTCTAATTTTGATTTTCGAATCAGAATTATGATTTATGATTTTGGACTATTTTTTACTTTATGTAAACAAATATTGATTTGAACCAAAATTATGATTTCAGTTATAAAA